AGACACGCACACGCACACACACACACACGAGTTGATCCCCACACTGTGCTCAATGCCAAGGACAAACCAGAGGCCGGGAGCCGTCCCTCCCGGGGCCAGTGCTGCCCGGAGAGGGTGAGTTGAGAGAAGATTCGTATTGGTCCTTTCAGATAGCATGGACATTCCTTGATCTTTGGAAACACAGGCAAGAGGGCAAACTGAAACCCACTACAGACCAGGGGACAGCAGTGCCCACGGGAGGCCTGAGTCCGTGGCATGCGTGGTCGGCTGACTGCAGCCAGGCAGCGGGGCACCTGCTGGGACCACGGCAGCAGGGGTCCCCATGGATGGCGGGGGGGTGGGGGGGATGGCCTGGCGCCTGGGCTCCGTGCTGCTGGGAGCCCCGTCCAGGCCCAGGCAGGAAACCCCGGTCCCGGGACTGTCCGACTCCCTTCCCGGGGGACAGACACGGGACAATGACCTTTGACACCGAAGGCAAATGAACACTATGGCCGTGATCGCTAGCGCTCGTGGGGGGGAGGAGAGGGGGAGGGAAAGAACAGTCACGACTCTCCCCTCCCCACCCCACCCCCACCCACCCCACCCCTGTCCCACCCCGGGAGCAAGCGTGAAGGTCCCCTCGCGCTACTGCACAGACCTGCACGACAGGGAAAAAACGTTTCCTGTGGAACTTTAGAAATGACGTCTTCGAAACAGGGTTCCCGGGAGACACGCACGCGCAGACACACAATGACGACAAGCAAAGGACATCGTGAATACTGACTGCAGGAAGGGCCGGGGCAAGCCACCGCCGCCCGAATCGGGTCTCTGAGCCCAGCCCACAGCGAAGTGCGAGCACGCAGGGTCAGGGGCTGTGGCCGCGGGCCGACTGCAGCCACCTTGAGGTTCAACTGTTATGTACATTATATCTACATGCGGATACAGTATCTTAAATTAGGAGGCAAGCACGCAGGTAAAGGTGTTACTCTACCAAGTATCAGTTGGGTGGGGGACGTACAGACAGAACAGTTAATAAAAGGGGGGGAAAAAAGCTATATTACCTGCTGGGAGATAATATAACCTGCTTATAGTTCTTTAAATTAAAAGAAACTGGTACAGAAAGGAAGTGTAATCCAAAACAAACAAAAAAAAAATTGTACTAAAACAACCCAGAGAAATGTTTCCATTGTCCAACGAGTTCCTAATACAAGTCAGAATCCACCAGCACGGGGCCCGTCCGAAGAGGGGTGTTGGCTTCCGCGCGGACGCCTGGACGTCCTGGGTAGGTGTCTGGCACCCAAAGGCTCACCGGGGAACGCTGCTGCCCGGTGCCGCGGCGTGCAAAGCGAGGCCCCTCACCGTCAGTGCTCCCGCGTGCTCCCCGGGAAGGGCAGTCTGCACTTGGAGCGTGAGAGGCTGTATCACGAGGGCGGAGGGGCGAGGGGCTTCGGGTGGGCTCGAAGTCCGGGAAGTGAGCGCATCCTTCCCCCGGCAGAGGCCGGGACGGGAGGGGAGAAATGTCGGAGCTTGGAGAGTTAGTCAGGCTGCTTTGCATCTACCCAGCGTCTAGACCCAATTCCAGCTTCATAACTCGGCGGTGAAGAACTTCCGCAGGCGTCTGGTAGCCACGTAGCCAGCAGGCCAAGACGAGGAAGCCCTGTGGACACAGAGAGGCAGGTGAGGCGGGGGCAACACAGGACAAACCAGAAGCAGGGCCCCCCTCGCCTGGAAACTTCCCCGCATACCCATTTCCCAAGGAAGAGAACCCAGGGTCCAGCACGTAATCTGGCTGAGTGAGTGGGCAGGAAGGGCTGCCTGGTCACTCAGGGACAGGCCCTTTCCAAAACACTGTCCTCACCTGCTGGCCTACGGACCTCCAAATCCCCTGCAAGCCCAAAGTGCTCTCTCTTTATTTAATTAATCGATTTTGGGGGGGGGGAGGCGCATGGTATTCACACCTGCAGAGTCAGGGCTTCCTCCCGACTCTGCTCTCAGGCATCACTCCTGGTGGGGCTTGGGGGTTTTTTATGGGGTGCCAGAGGCTGAACCCCGTTGCTCACGGGCAAGGTTAAGTGTCGTGCCCTCTTTCCTGTCCCTCTGGCCCCACAGGTCTAAATTTCCGAGGCCCAAACGGTCTCGCCAGGAGTGTGTGTGGGCTCCCCCACAGGCCCTCTCTGGAAAAGGCGGTCCATTTGCAGGAAGTCCAGAATTCGCATCGACTTTCTCAAGGAGGGTGCAAGAAAAGCTCCATTCCACGGGCCGCTGCCCTCCTGTGAAACATCTTCCTGGAGAAGTCCTGAGTGCCACGCGCACTCTGGCCCCACTGCCCCTGTGGGTGAATGCGGCTCCCCGTGGCCACAGCTCTCCCCGAGACACCCAGGGCATTGCCTGGAATTCTACGCCGAGGTGACAGCGGGCGGGGCCGAGAGCAAGCCAAGAGAGATGGAGGCACAGGACCCGGAGTGATCAGCCAGGCCCCTGCAACCGGGCCCCTTGAGCAGGCGAAGACCGTGGCCTAAGGGATGGCAAACCCGCCCTGGGGGGGACACGAGGCCCTTCCACAACGGGAGGCAGGCGCTTTAAAGACAGTCTCGCTGGCAGCCACCATTCTGTGGGCTCTGAAAGGAGCCGCACAAAGGAGTCCACAGCCGGGAGCCTTGAGCACACATTCTTTTCTTCTTTGGGTTTTACTGGCTTAAAAACTTCCAAACCATGACCTTGGAGTAAAAGAAGACCTTGTATATATAGTTCTTAGAAGTTAGCGATTCAAAAAATTTTAAAAATTAGAAAGAAAAAAAGAGTTCAGCAAATAAATCTATTGCTGCATTTGCTGACATCCAGACCCTCTTACCTTGTACTTTAGGGGTGAATATTTAACTGCGAGGCTAATCACATAAATCACGGTTTCTTTCTAGGCATAAATCTTACATGGTAATAATTGTTTTCATGTTACAATAAATGAAAAGAATTTGGAAAGGAGCAATAGAATCTAGAAAGTTGGCAGCCAAGGTTGCCCAGAGTAATTTGCTGTGAAAAGACGAGGACCCTGCAGGCGACGCGGCTAGAAACAGCAGAGCAGACCCCCCTGCCGGCCCGCGACGGAGCAGGCGAGGAGGCCGGCCTGGGGACAGCCACCTCCTGCGCCCCACGGACAGTGAGAAGCAGCAGGCCACCCTCTCCCTTGTCTTCCTGCCCCCGTGGTGGGCTTGTGCCAAGACGCCCCCGGTTGGTCATGGGTTGGGGGAAGGCTGAAGGCGAAAGGCCAGGACGAAACCAGTCCTGCCCCGGGTCTGCTCTTCCACCTCTATCTCCTGCAGCTCTCTGGAGTGTGTGTGTGTGTGTGTGTGTGTGTGTGTGTGTGTGTGTGTGTGTGTGTCTACGCATGTACTAGTGGGTGCTTGGAGGCCAGCAGTCTAGGGGTCACTCATGGCAGTGCTGGAGGTGGGTGGGAGGGGACACGCGTGCAGGAGTCATCTCTTGGGCCCCAGCAGGACTGTGCTCACAGGGCCACCGAGCATGCGACTTAGACCTCGCAGGGCACGTGGTCTCCGTCCAAGCCACGCCGTGCCACGATGAAGACAGCCACAGACACTACACTGGGACCGTGGCTGTGCGCCAATGAAACTCTATTTATAGATACCAGAATTGGAATCTCATGTAATTTTCATGGTCATGAAGTGTTCTTTTCTCGTATTCTTCTTCAAAGTTTCAAAGAATTATTTCTGGCTTGCTATGCTGGGGGCGGGGCACGTGGGTCAAATCTGGCCCCTGGCCCGACACTTACTCAACAGCCCCTTGAGGAAAGAACTCCCTGGATCTCTTTACTGGGTCTGAGCCTTAAATAGGAGTGTAGAAAGAAAATCAGTGCCTTAGGGTTCCCCAGCTTTGCATCAAAAATTCTCAGGCATCTGCAACATACTTTCTTTACAATTTGAATATCCAATGTAAAGGAAACGTGCAGTAAGTCACTGAGGATCAAGGAAACTTTCAAAATACAAATGGATTTGGGCTGGAGAGAGAGGAGGAGCCACGGCCTTGACTTCGCACGTGGCCAACTCTGGCCTGATTCCCAGCCCCGGACAGGGTCCCCCAAGCACAGCCAGGGGTCACTCCTGAGCACAGACCCAGGGGCACCCTGGACGTCACCAAGCCCTGACTAAATCCTGACGGGCATTCCACTCTAACGACCGGCGCTCAGACAAAGAAGCCAAGCAAAGCTTCTCGTCCCCCGGGCTGTGGGGTCAGGAGAGTGACCAGGCCGGCCTCAACGACATGGGTCTTGGAGCCCTCACGAAGGGACAATGCCAGATGGCAGCTGAACTGGGACAGCAGGAGGGAATGAGGAGACACTCTTCTGCCCCCCCAACTATTAAACATAGACGAGCATGGGAAAAGCAGATCCTTGTGCCTGCAAACCAGACCTCACTGGTGCTCGAACTGCTTTGCATGGGAACCCACTTAGGAAAATCTTATTTTGTGGGTTTCCAGCCATTCCCGGCGGTGCTCAGGCCTTCCTCCTGGGTCTTCACTCAGGGTCATCCTAGCAGGGCTTGGGGGACCACATGGGGGACCCAGGTTGGGTGCATGCAAGGCAAGAGCCCGACCCGCTGTCTCATCTCTCTGGCCCAATTTAGCAAATTTTCAAAAACAGAAATCAGGGCTGGGGAGACAGTATGTGGGTATAGGCATGGGCCTGGCATGTCCTGGGCTGTCCAGTTCATTCCTGGCCACCACAGAGGACCTTTCCAGCACTGCTAGGAGTGAGCCAGGAGTAGCCCCCCATCACACACACACACACACACACACACACACACACACAAAGGCAGGAGTGAGCCAGGAGAAGCCCCCCATCACACACACACACACATACACACACACACACACACACACACACACACACACAAAGGCAGGAGTGAGCCAGGAGAAGCCCCCCATCACACACACACACACATACACACACACACACACACACACACACACACGAAAAACCACAGGTGGGTCCCGTGGAGACGAGGGCTCACCTGACTCGGTAAAGTGCAGACTGTTATCTGGAGATGTACGTGTAGGTTCTGGAAGGAGAGCGGGTCTCGTTCTGGGCGCTGGGAGGCACGTTGAGGAAATCCCAGATCAAAATAGTGTCGTCGTGGGAGCTGCTGATGATCTGGAACTCGTCAAACTGGAGCCGGAACACGCGGCCCGAGTGTTCCTGGGAGACAGAACCCGGCGGGTGAGCGGGGCCCGCGCCCGGCCTTCCCCTTCCGGGACAGGCGCTCTGCTGCTCCCCTGGGCCGTGCCCCCACCAGACTCTGTGGCTGTCACCCTGGCACACCGGTTGTGTCGGAAAGGCCAACACAAAGGGCTCCGGGAAGCAACGGCACGTAAGATGCACTCCCCAAACACAGGGCGAACCAGAGCCACAGGCCCGAGAGGCAGGCACTGGGGCCACATAGGGGCTCCGAGCACCGCCAGGTGTGGTCCCCGAAAAACCCAAACAAACCAAGCAGAACCCCAGAAGCAGGGGTGAAGACAGCTCGACCGGCAGGGCGTAGACTTTCAGTACAGGTACCATCTATCCCCCGAGTACTGAGCCAGGAGTACCCCTGGAGCACTACTGGGGGAGGCCCCAAAGCCCAGACAAAAGAAACAACAACAAGAACCACCAGCACCTCAAAGCACAGGCAACATCACCACAAAGAGCTCAAGATCAGCAGCGTAATGAGGAGTAGCCAGACGCAAGGGGGAAAGGCCCTAACTCTGCTCTGCAGGCCAAGCCAACGGAGACCGTGAACCGAGATAAAATGCAAAGAACAGAAAACTCAGAAAGAAGAGGGGAAAAAATATATATATCAGTATTTTCAAACAACCGTCCCCTGAAAATACAACACAGGCAAGGCTCGGCGAGTTTCTGGGACAAGGCCAAGAAGGAGTCCCCCCCCAAGGCCACAGGGACAGGAGAACACCGTGACCACGCAGAGCACGTCACCCCAAAGCCTCCTGCCTGGCCGCAGCTCCAGCAGCCTCCCCACCCCCGGCACAGGGCCACCTACCACCAACGTGCGCAAACACAGCGTGCTCGCGGGGGCTCGCGGGTCCAGGGCGGCCTGCAAATCCCAGACTTTGATCTTCCTAGAAAGGAAAGCGGGACGTGATGAGCGCCCAGGGGCTCCGCGGCGGCAGGGACGCAGCTGACCCGCCCCTCAGGAAAGCCAGCTGGGGGGGCCCGTGACCCCACTCCTGGGTTAGGTCGAGCCATGGCGCTTGATTGGGGGCGAGGAAATAACGGGCCATAACATTGAGTGAAGAAAGAGACAGGAAAGGGGAGAGGGGAGAGGGGGAGGGGAAAGGGGTGAGGTCAAAGGTCAAGGCCAAGGGCCGGACTCCAGGGCAGCCCGAGCTTCGAACGACTGTGGGACTCGGCACAGTAGCAACTGTGCAGCCGTCGGCCCCCGGCGGGGGAGCCCCACGTACCCGTCGTAGGCCCCGCTGACGATCCTCTTGTTATCGAAGCGGATGCAGCGGACCAGCTCCTCGTGGCCCTCCAGGACTCGCAGGCAGGCACCACACTCGATGTCCCACAGCCTTGGGGAGAGCAGAGCCCGGTCAACGCCCTCCCACCACGTGGCACCCCCCCAGGCCCAGCGAGGCCAGCAGCACCCGCGGGGGGAGCCCCACAGGGATGATGCGCCAACCTGGACACGGCCCCTCCCAACACAAGGGGTCCGAGAGAGAAAGACCCATCAGGGGGACACGGGGGTTTGGAACCGGAACCAGAGCCATGCTTTTGAGAACAGCTCTGGGGCCGGGCCGAATTCCTCCCGTTCCTGAGGAACCATCTCTGCCCGTCCTACTGTGTGCACGCGGTCAGCACAGAGAGAGGGTGCACGGCGGGCGACCCTGTCACAGCTTCCCCTGCTCTCCCGAACGTGGCGCCCAGCACCCGGCCACCAACCGCGGAGACGCCCGGCCGAGGGCCAGAGGAGGCAGAGGAACTGGTCCCCAGCACCGGCTGCGAAGCCTCTGAGGGGTGAGAAGTCACTGCAGGAGTATCACGCGGGAAACGCCAGGAAAGTTGGCGGGTGTCTCCTCTCCTTTCCAGTCTTTATCTTGCTCCCACGCGAGGCCCCCGGGCTGCTGCGCTGCCCTGGTCACTGCAAAGCCCGAGTTCCGAGCACGTGCGAGGGCCGCGGGGAAGGGGCAGCTACGTGGGACGGCACTGAGAAACGTCTCACTGGAGCCCAGCGAGCGGTTCCACCCACCTGATGGTGTTGTCTGAGGAGCCGCTGACCACCAGCCGGTCCCGGTACTGGAGGCAGGCGATGCCCCGCTTGTGCCCGTTCAGGGTCCGCACGAACTCACAGGTGCTCGTGCTCCACACCTGGGGGGGCAAGCGGCCACGCGGTTAAGAGGGGAAGTGGGAAAGGCCTCCCACGCCCTAGCCAAGAAAAAAGGGAACAGCATCAGAACCGCGGAGAACCACCCAAGATGCGGCCATGAGGACAGGCACGCCCTGGACCTCCACGCGGGGGGCCGGGGGTTACTCAGGTGCTGTGCCAGGGTGGTCCGGTGTGTGAGGAATCAACAACCCCTCCCGTATTGAAACCAGCCGCAAGACTGAGATGTTCACAGCCACACTAAACTGATGACCAGCCGAACCAAGAGCACCCAGACCCCTTCCCAGGGCTACTGGACACAACTGGGATCCACCTGCATGCAAACAAGGCAGGACCCACCCTCACGTGTCCAAAACCCGAGATCTGCATGTGCCCATCTTCTTGAATGCAAGAAGGAGACAGGCCCTCGGGTTGCTGGTCAGAGCCCAGTAACACACACACACACACACACACACACACACACACACACACACACACACACACCGGAGAGCCCTGTGCCCTAAAGGACCCTCACACGGCTGGCCTGGCTGACCCAGAACCCCCAGCACACACACACACACACACACACACACACACAGAGCCCAGTGCCCTGAAGGACCCTAGCACACATAGCTGGCTGGCCCGGCTGACCTAGAACCCCTGGCATGCAGCCCAGGGCCCCGTCTCAGCAGGTTCTCCCTGTCAGTGCCTCCATCCTGTCTCGACTTTGCCACAGACCAGCTGTGGGTGGTGGAGGCTCAGAGCATGGTGCCCTCCCAGGGGCGGCTGCGGACACTCACTTTGATGGTCCTGTCGCCCGAGGCGGACACAATATACTTGTCATCGAAGTCCACCACGTTGACGGCCGCGCGGTGGCCGACCAGGACACGGCGCAGGGTGATGTCGGTGGCCGAGGCCATGTCCCAGACGGCGATGGAGCGGTCCTTGGAGCAGGTGACCATCAGCCCGTTGCTGAAGCGCAGGTGCAGGACGGCCTCGTTGTGGTGGATGAGCGTGTTGAGCACCTCGCCCGTGTGCACGTCCCACACCCTGTGGCGAGGGGCAGGCTGAGACGGGGGGTGGGGGGTGGAGGGGTGGGGGGCACCGAGTTCGAGGTGTTGGTGACCTCCCGCGGGGCCTGGACCCTAGTGCCAACCCTCTGTGAATGAATCGGGGCGCCAAGCCAGGCCGGAGGGACCAGGGGCGGGTCCTCAGCTCTTCCGAGACAGACACACAGAACCAGGCAGAGGGGAGACACAGCTCCCGGCTGGAAACCTGGCAGCACTGGGCGGGATGCGGGGCTTGCTGGGGACACGTCCCTGCTTGTGTCTGGGCTGAGGTGACGTGTCCCTTCCCCACCAGGGGGCTTCAAGGGCATCTTGGGCTGTCTCCTTTGCCACCCCCTAAACCCTGGCCAGCAGCCCAGCTTCCTGGTGTCCAGGAGGACAGCCACGGCCCCGGACCCCTTAGGCCCAGATGACACGAATCCCAGGTTGGGAACGAGGGGCCTCAGAGCCGCGCCCAGCGCCTCTATGCCCTGCTGGACGCATCACCCACCTCACTGTGGAGTCCGAGGAGCCCGTCACGATGACCCGCTCGTCGTACTGGAGACATAGGACGGAGCCTGTGTGGCCCGTGAGCACCTTCAGACACTCCAGGCTGGTCTTATCCCAGATCTACGGAGAAGAGGGACCGTCAGGGGGTGAACCACGCACGCAGCCCAGGCCTGTCGGGGCAGTGGGAAGCCGCATCGGTGCCAAGGCGGGAAGAGACCAATCTCCCCCACCACCTCCCCCCCACACACACGCGCGCGCACACACACACACACGTGCGGACTGAGGGAGCGGGACCCCCAGTGCCTTCCCGCACACATGAGCATGGTCTTGTCGATGCTGTGTGCTCCACACACTCAGCCTTACAAAGGGAGTGGAAAGACACAAAAGACATAAAAAAAAAAAAAAATCAGTCTGCCCTCTGAAACGCAGCTATTAAGCGTCTTTCTGAACAAATACCCCATAACCTGGCTTACAAAAAAAAAAAAAAAAGAGGGCTCAAGATGTGAGGACATTGTCAGAGTAAACTTAATAAAATTTTAATGAGAAAACACTGCTTGAAAATTGTAGTGGTCATGTATAATACATGTATTTGTTTAAAAAGGAGATAAAATATTAAAAGTTCTTTCTAAATACTGGTCTCCTTCTTCTTAGAAAAAAAAATCATTCCAGGATTTTTCAAGTTTTTAATACTGTCCAAATATAATAAGGGAAAGAAAACCGATGGTTTTTTTTTCAAAGACTGAAATGCTAAAAATAGATCCCAGGGTCCTGTTCTTTCCTCTATGAAAGAATACTCCGGAAAGCAAGCATCATCCTCCTCAGAAGTGACCACTAGGGCCAGCCCCGGCGTGGACAGGGTCCTATAAACCAGCCTTGTGCCCCTTACAGAGGCAGGGCCAAGCACGGAACAGGCGGGCAGCTGGCCAGCCGGGCTTCGGCCAGTCCTGGAGAAAGGGGGGTGGGTCTGTCCTGCCATCTGTGTCCTGGAAGCCAGGACTCCGCTGAGGGCCTCCCGAGCCCAGAGGCCACTGCCCCCGCGAGTGTGGCGGAGACGATGGAGCCGTAACCTCAAGGCTCTCGGGGTCTGTCACAGTCACAGCCAGATTACGAAAAGGTGGAAAGAAAGAACCTACGTTTTCTTCAAGTGAGAAGGAAGGCACAAAGTGAAAACATCGGCCTGGCAGAGAAGCCTTCAAACAGGGAACACGGCTTCCTCTCGAACAGGAAGTGAAAGAGAAAGAAGAGGAAGTGCCCGACGGGGTGGTCCCCTGGGGCATGCCCGCCAGGGGACTCTGAGTCTGTGACACGAGGGACTTCCTGGGTGCCCCAGAGTCCGCAGGGGCCTGGGGTGCAACCGGGACAGTGGACGGCCCGGTACCCTTCACACCTTGATGGAGTTGTCGCGGAGTCCGCTGATGATCTTCTCGTCGTCATACTGCAGGCAGTAGACGCCTTTGCTGTTCTCCGAGCGGCACTGGATCCGCTGCAGGTTATGCCGGCCACACCGCCAGTTGGACTCTATAGTCTGGGGGGCGGGGGAGAAGGGAGAGGTGAGTCTCTCCTTGGGAACAGCAGACCGCGGGGCCGGGGGAGCACGCGCCCGCCCAGACACGGTGCTTTGCTCCGGCGTTCCCTACCCATCTGGCAGCAATCACGGGATTTCCAATGAGCCTGGGCTGGGTTGGAGGGGGGAAAAAAAGGCCCAGACAGAATTCAATATGCTTCAAGAATGCCTTTTGCACCCAAAGCATACAAATAAATAATAACTCACTGGGTCACTGTCTAATGCCAATCAAAATATCTGGCGGAAGATCCCCACCACATCATTGCGGGGCAGACCCTGGGCAGGGCCGGGATCCGTTCAGCGCACGGCGCTCGCCGCCGGAAAAAGAAACCCAAACCCCTCTTCAAGACAACCGCCGGGGGAAGAAGCTGAACCACGGCCGCCTTTGATCTTCCTGCGGACGGAAGCGCGTCGGCACAGAACAGCGCATTTCACGCGCGGATTCTCGTGGGTGCCTCTCAGAGCCAACCGCCCAGGTGCCCGGTCAACAGGAAGCCCCGTCCCTCCTTCCAGGGTGGCACCCGGCCCATCCTCAGCGCCTGACTCTGCAATCCCTCCCTCGGGCACACAGGGGATCAGAACCTGACCCGCCTGAAGACATAGCCGCTGCCTCTGGGCCCCGCGCCCGGGCTCTTCCCCACGGGGTATGTCAGAGGGGACCTCGAGGATAGCCCCCGGGCTGGGAAGCGGCACCTTGGGGGTCTCTCATGCTCCGGGGCAAGGCACTGGGTCATTTGATTACCCCAATGCTGAGGCCAAAATGACTGCGACACCTTTCCGAGAATGAAGGGCTGGGGACTCCGGGACAGAGAGCACTTAGAAAGGAGAACCAGGCCCACGATGGGTGCCCTCGGCAGGTGGCAGGGGAGGCGGAGAACCAATCCCTGCCCTGGCGGAGATCCCAGCCCAGCTCTCCCGGAGGAGATCGGTGGGGTCACACTCCCACCAGGGGCCCCCGCTCTCATGGGCTCTGAGCACGGAGCCTCCGAGACCACTTTCCAACAGGGCTACCTGCTCCCGCTTCCTCTCTGGGGCAGACACCAGGTTAGACACCTAAGCCAGAGGCGGTCTCCAAGGGCCCCAGAATTCCTGAGCCACACTCGATGCTCGCAGCATGTCTGAGACGTGGCGTCTTTGGCAACGGTGACCGAGCCCCCAGGTAAGCACTGGCTGAGGTACACAGGCCGGGCCCAAAACACGGGAGGCGAGCGCCCAGCCCACTGTGTGCCACGTGGTGCCCCTGCTCAGGCGGGCGCCGCCTTTCCAATCCCCACGGCTGTTCTTGTGTCTGACACACACACACACACACACACACACACACACACACACACTCGCCCGAGAACACAGAGATATGGGCACATGAGTAAAAGCTGCCTTGTCTTGGAACCGACAGCAAATACCAGTGTTGCTTTGAAATTTCCGGGTGTGCTGGACACACTTTGCTTCGCAATATGCAGAGCCGACTTCAGCAAGCAGAGAAGGGACACTAAGCACACACGGGGGTTGAGGAGATTCTCCCCTTCCGAGAGGCGGCGGGCAGAACTCTCCTATGTGCCCCACGGCCCAAGCCTCTGAACAGTTTCCCGTGGCAGGGCGTGACCGGCTCTGACCCCTAACTCGCCCTACCGCCTCCCAAGACCCAGCAGAGAGTCAGGGGGGCCTGGACAGAGGCCAGCACCTGCACAGGGGCCCTCAACGAGAGCCGGGGGCCTTTCCTGCGAACTCCAAGTCAGGCTGGGCCACGGCCGAGGTCCTCGCTTTCTGCAACACGCGGCAGAATGATACAGCGCCTGAGTCTGCGTGCCCCCGCCCAACCCCCTCCAGCTCCTCCACCTCTGGCCTGGCTGAAGAGTCATGAGGTCAGGGAGCCTCTGAAACAGGCTGGGGTGGGCCACCCGCCAGGGAGCTGCCCTCCTGGGAAGCCCAGGGCCGCTATGATGAGGCCTCGCTTGGACCAGCAGGCCGGGCGTCTGGAAACGGCACACGGGGCCTTGTGAGCTGGGAGGCGGCCCCCCGCACGGGCTGAGGGCAAAATGAGCAGCCGTGGCAAGGCCCTGATCACCAGAGCGGCAGAAACGACGCGGGTTCCCAGGAGCAGGCTCGGAGGGGACGGGCGGGGACTGGGGCCACGTGAGGCCGCAGGTGTGCAAGACGCCAGCCCACCCGCTGAGCAGGGCTACAGCCAGACGGACGGACTGCTGCTCCCTCATGGCCAGAAACGGGCAGCTCAGGAGGCGCCAGGAGGCAGCGGGCCCAGAGCACCCGGGCCAGTCCCCAGGAGCCGTCCCCGAGCTCTGTGGCCACAGACGCCTACCGTGGCCACTGGGCGGGCCAGCTCACGAAACCCTCTCCCCTAGGCCAGGTCCCCAAGCCCTGGGAAACCTGTCCCGATACCCAGAGCACAGAGTGGCATTTCACCTGGCGGGAAAAGTGAAGACAGGTATCCGGGGACATAAGAGTAACATTATTCCAGAAGCCCAACCAGAGGGAGGGGACAGGAGGTGGGGACAGGAGGTGGCCTGTCCTGGCCAGGACGCTGACCAGCGCTTTCCCGAGTCCAGGCGGTTTATTCCAAGGTATGACATGCTGCAAGGGGCCGCAAGGCCCTGCAGGACCCCTGCTGGTTTCTGGGGCACCACAGCTCTGCGCTGCCAGGCGACTGTGTCCAGCAGACAGAGGCCCACCTTCCTCCAGGGGACAGCGGGCGGCACGGCCGAGTGAGAGGGAGTTTCAGCTGAGGAAGCAACAAGCTACCCATAACCCACTGGGTCAGGGCCGCTCTCCCGCTGGCTGGGGCCAGCTCAGACACTCGGCAGAGGGCCCTAATCCTCGCCCGCCCGGGACAGGGTGACCTAAAGACCAGGGAGCTCAGTGATCCTCCCCGAGCATGCCCCACCCCGGGTCTCTCTCCCAGGCAGCAGGGAATATGCCCAGGAAGCTGCCTCCTGCCCCTCCACCTCGCCTGGGGCTGGCTCAGGGTTGGTCCCTGAGCACCGCCTGGTGTGCCCGTCTCTAAACAATCCAACCACATCCGTCTACTTCTCGACCAGCAAGAGTGCAGGGGGTGGGCCACGTCTGCCCTGCACACGGCCAGCCCCCACCTGGCCCAGAGCCAGGACTCAGCCCTGAGCACTGTCAGTCGCAGCCCCAAGATCAGAAGGAAAAGTGTCGGCCTCTTCCTAGGAGGCCGATGTGAAAGGCCTGTGGCACCCGGCCCAGGAGCCAGACCTGGGACTGGACGGGGGCAGGGGGCAGCATTGTATTAGAAAGATCTGAGGAGAGAAAAGAGAGGGGGACACAGAGAGGTGTGTGTGTGTGAGAGAGAGAGCATGAAAGTGTGTATGACTGTGTGTGAGCATGTATGTGTGACTGTGCGTGTGCGCACTTACCTTGCCCTGTTTGCGGGAGGGTGGGGGGGTACACACCTGAGTGAGCAGGGGCCTGTGGGCAACCCAGGGCCCCACAAGCGTGCACCCTCGCCGTGGACCCTGACTGACCCTTCAGTGAGGAGCTCAGCCCTCCCACAGAGGAACCAGAACAAGGTGGGGCTGTGAGCGCCCCCTGCTGGGGAGGACAGGGCGCCGGGAAGCGCCACCTCTCCTTTGCCAGCAGCTGAGGCGAGCCTGGGGCTGGGGTCAGGGAAAGGCCTGAGTCAGGCTGCAAGGGGGCGATGACCACGGTCCAGACCTCTGTGGGGACCCCCCCCCCCCCGTCTAGGGGGCTGCACGCCCACGCCCCCAGTCCCCGCCTGCCCTGCGCACGACCAGAACGCAGAACTCGGCACAGAGAACGTTCAGTCGGCGGGGCCATTGTTCTTCCTTCATTAGGATTTATTTCAAATACGTTAATGGGAGTTCCATAAATGTTCTTGCTGTGAATCATCGCTGTGTTCGTGTGTGTGTGTGTGTGTGTGTGTCTGTCTAACCTCTCCTGGCACCGAGAAATCAGAAAACCCCACTAGGAAACGCGCATGGGCTCGGGTGCAAGCGAGCAGCCCGTTCCAGAACACGTCCCCCCCATCCTAACGAGGGTCTGACAGCCCCTGTAGGGACAGGACCGCCCCGTCATAACGAGGGTCTGAGAGAACCCATTTCCAGAACACGACCTCCCCACCCTAACAAGGGTCAGACAGCCATTTCGGGACAGGACCACCCCGTCACAAAGGGGGTCTGACACACTGCCCACAGAGACCCGCAGGAGGCCCAGGGGGGCTCAGGTGGTGGCCAAACACGCGTTCAGGTGGGTTACTGCCAGAAGAGCGCCCATGGGAACTGGGGTCTTCCACTCACCAACTCTAGAGCCTGGCTGAGCATCTACGCGGGGCCGGTTCCCAACACCCCCCTGCAGCAACCAAGGATCAGACACGGTGATTCGGGGGGTGGGGGGAGGGATGAGAGGGTGAGAGTGAGAGAGAGATAGAGAGAGAGAGAGAGAGACAGACAGACAGACAGACAGACAGACAGACGGGCCCTCCACGCACCCCCACCGAGTCTCCACGACAGACACGGAGAGGCAGCTGAGCCGACACTGCAGCCCATTGGAGGTCCGGCCCGGCCCGTGCTCCCGTGAGCGAGATTCCAGCCGCGCTCTGCCGGGCCCTTAATGGCGGGGCCACTCTATTAGCCCACATCTGCCGAGAGGCAGCGGGGGCCAGAGCAGCCCCCGAGCACGTGTTTCTCCATTAATGGATTCTGGCACAATAACTTTTATGTCTCTCACCTGGGGGAAGAGGATTACTTCATGTTCGGGAAACTGCGTGCAGCTTTATGGGGACACGGGATCACCGGCCCAGGCCGGCCTGCCCGGCCAGGGAGGAAGCAGGGGACGTGGCCAGGAGCGGGCCGAGCACGTGTGACGGAGTTAATGAGCAGAGCCGGGGCAGGCCGCGGGGCGAACGGAACTAATTAGGACAGGCGGACAGTCCCCACGTCCCCACTGCTTCTCATCACGTTTACGGGTTCCGCGGGCCTGGTGAAGTCGCACTCCAGTCCAGAAGGGCCCAGGAGCGCAATCTGCTCCATAAAACCCACTTCACCATCGCTGGGGATCACATTTGAGTCATTTCGCGAAACATTCTGGGGCATTTCCAGAGGAAACCCAGCTCGGCCTTTTCCACACGTGGCACCGAGAGCCAACGCCTGCCCCAAACTCCGGGCCTGGACTCTTGGAGGAACTTATGGAATCAGGGGGAGAAAAAAACGTCGTTTACGTGAAGATTTTAACGAACCCATAGCCTTGCAGGAGCCTTTCCGGTTTTAGAAAGGTATAAAGCAGAGAGGCTTACACCTGCCCCAAAGAGTAACTAGACCCACACAATTGTGTCGTGCGACAGACAAGTGACCAAAGGCCGAGCGTGAGACAGACAGAGAAGCCGCGGTTACCTCTATGTCCTGGATGATCTTTGGGTACAATGACCTATAGAACGAATTGGGAGGGCCGTCCGTGGGTCTGTTTTTAAACAGGTACTGATCCCTGGCAAAGGAAACACAAACAGAAGTCAAGTTTCTCGCACACACAAAGGTGAACATTCACTAAGCTGTCCTGAGGGCCGGGCCCCCTCCGGGCAGCCCCCCACCATGACCGACGGCCAGCCACGCTCCCAGGACGCAGCTCGCCCATACTCAGCCGCCCATTCCTGCTCTGGTCCTGTCTGGACCCGAGGGGCGGAGCTCAGAGCACACACCTGACTGCTCAGGAATGACTCTGGGTCCGCTGAACCCAGGGCCCCTCACACTTCTCAGAGTGTGTGTGTGTGTGTGTGTGTGTGTGTGTCCGGGTCTGGATCAGGTTAGCCATGCCCGCACCCTCAGCCCAAGACCCCCAGGGTCTCCTCCTCTCTCTCTGTTCCCTCTCTCTTTCCCGCATGATCACGTCTCATCCCCCCTGACAGTGCTCGAGGGCCCTAAGGGGTACCAGCGTGCAGACGAGCGCCCAGCCCACTGATGCGCCCTCTCTCTCGCCCAGCTCTGGAGGCCGGCGTGAAGCCCCTGGGGCCCCTCGGGGCACTCACCAGCCCCTGCGCTCCGACAGCCCCTTCCAGAGCGGGTCCGTGCGCACCATCCTCTCGATGAGCTTCTTCCACAGCATGCCCTCCGAGATGACCCGCTGCCATTCCTTGCACACCAGCTCCGCGGCACACAGCGACCTGGCGTCCAGGTAGGAGAGAATGTTTTCTGCTATGTGATCTAAGCCTTGCTCTACAAAACAGAAAAGGCCGTAAAGGAGTGGGCAGGCGGCAGGGGCAGGTATGCGCGCGGCCGCGGGCGCAGGGGCTGGGGGGGGGGGGGGGGGGCCTGACGGGCATCCCCAGCCCGTTCCCGGCTCCATCCCTGTGGCTCTCAGGGGTGCTGCACCAGCATGGGCGGGCGGGCGAGATGGGGCGCTGGCCCTCGGCTAGGCACAACCCCCGACGCACTGTGCCGGGAACCCACCACCTGAGCGTGCTGGCAAAGTCCAGGTGGGCACCACGTCCCTCAAGAGCCCAGAGACCAGGGTGCTCTGGACGGGGGCCCAGGCACGCTCTCGCCCTCACTGCCTTCCGAGTGGGAGAAACCCTCCCAGGGCCCCCAAACTCAAGAGTGAAGCTGTTTCCACGGCACACACAGACACACACATGCACACATGCATAGACACACATAGACACACATACACACACAGGCATGCACACACACAAACACGCACAGATGTACACAGGCGTGCACACACGCTGACACAGGCATGGATGCGCAGACACACAGGCACACACACGCATAGATATGCCTACGTGTGCACACAAGCATACACACACAGGCACACACGCACGCGCGCGCACACATACACACGGGCTCGCCTGAACAGGCCACCGTGGGAGCACCCCTGGGGAGCGCTCGGGCCCACCTCTGCAGCCTGCTCAGAGCGGGGCACACAGATTGTGGAGGCCCCGGCTCCCTTTTAAGAGCAGATCTGCCCCTCGAGTCTGTGGCTGCAAACAAACACGGCCGAGCCCCTCCCGAACTCCGCGGGCCCCACGAGGAATGGCTGTTCCCACAGTGGGAAGCCCCCAAGCACAGGCAGCGGGGGAGGGGGGGTCCACGCTGTCAGCCAGGCATGGCCCGAGGCCACCTTGAGACCCCCAAACAGCGAGGCTTCGCGACTCTCAGGCCCCGGAGACAGTGTCCGGCAGAGGTGCGAGTCTGCGCCAAGGGGACGCTGAGGACTGGGACCCTCCGGCGCAGGGGTCGAGAACGCTGGCTATCCCCGGGAGGAAGCTCCTCTCGGGCCCTGGTGTCCCCTCTGCTCTGGCCAGCTAAGCCCCACGGCGACGCCGCGGCCTGCGCCCACCTTCTCCTGGGACCCACCACACACGACTGCCTGCCCATCAGACCCTCAGCCCCGCTCTTGGAACAACCCTCCAAATTCCGACTCCCCGGAGGGCGGGGAGGGCAGCAGGAGTTTGGAACCGTCCCCCCGCCATTCCCCGCCCCCCGAGCCTATCTGACTCTCCTGCCCAGTGCTCACCCCTCTCGGCCCTGCATGATGGAACTGGAGGTCACTCTCCTGAGTCACAGGCATGTGTGCCAGGCAGGTCAGAACCAAGGACAGCACCCAGCACCCGACCGCTGGCTATACCCCCGGGGCCCACCCCCACCCTCACCCAACACCCAGGCCTCGGGCAGAGACAAAGGGCGGCTGCACGTGGGGACCTGGTCACAGGTGGCCGAGTGGCTCAGCGCCCTGGCGTCACGCTCGCTGGGGAAAGCGACACTTGCAGGGAAGCAAAGCAAGAAGACCCCTGTGCCAGGCTCGCCCCTGTGCTCAGCTCCTGGGCTTGCGTCTGGCACACCCACGCCTCTCTGGGCCGGCTCCCGCGTGCTCTGCCAGGCAGGCAGGGCTGGGACCAATGAGGTTTCTCTGGGGGTCCTGGTCTGGTGTCAGGGAGGACGGGGGGAGCTACACAGGCTCCTCTCCACGTACTCAGCCTCTAGGAGATGCCGACGCCCACTGCCCAGCACAGGGGCACGGCCATCCACTCTTCTGGCCAGCACAGGGGCTGTCGTCCACTGCCCAGTACAGAGACGCTGATGTCCACTGCACAGTGAAGAGGCACCATCGTCCACTGCCCAGCACAGGGGCGTCGTCATCCACTGCCCAGCCCAGCACAGAAGCACCAGTGTCCACTGCCCAACGCAGTGCTACATCGATCACTACCCAGCACAGAGGCACCATTATCCACTGCCCAGCCCAACACATAAGCACCACTGTCCACTGCCCAGCACAGGGATACCATCGTCCACTGCCCAGCACAGCACAGAAGCGCCATTGTCCACTGTCCAGCAGAGAAGCACCACTGTCCACTGCCCATTGCAGGGGTACCATCGATCACTGCCCAGCATGTAGGCACTGTTGTCCACTGCCTAGCACATGGTCACTGTGGTCTGGGATGACCCTGTGAGGGTCAGGCAGGAGCCCAGGCCCACCCGCTGAGGAGCGAGCCCAGGGCGGGCTCAGGGCTAGGCTGCACGGCTTGCCCGGGCGCCGCCTCCTCGGGCCCTGGCATGGAGCTGCCAACCGGGCTGGCTGAGCGTGGCGGGGAGGGTCCCCGGGCCTGGGAGCAAACGGACCTGCCACTCGCTGTTTGCAGGCGTGACGGGGCCCCTCTGCCAGGCCTCAAGTGCCGGCGTCTGGCTCTCATTTACTCGGCTGTGCTACGACAGCCCCCCTCACGAGCCCTTCCTTCTCCAGGCGAGAGAGACACACACACACACACACACACACACACACACACACACACACAGCGACTGCAGGCAGCAGAGGAAGGGCTGGAAGCGCTTCAACAAGAAATTAAGACAATTAAAGGGCACACACATCGCAAGCTCGGCGTGTGAGTCACACCGTATCCAAACGGGCCAAAGCGTGGCGGCAGCCCCGTGCCCTTGACTGCAGCCGCTCTGAACGCAGCTGCTCCATCCTCCACTCCAGAGACTTTTACGATTCCAGAAACGCAATTCCAAGCACAGCTGCAACGTCGCGTCCTTCCCCACCCACCTCCCCACCCCCGTCTCAGGGGGTTCCGGATAGGAACGGGCACTGGGCATGGCCTGGACGCCCGGCCCGGACACCCGGAGAATCCCGGAGCAGCAGAAAGGGGCACACGGTCGCCCGGGGCCGGCACCTGGCCAGGCCAAGCAGCAGCGTGGCCCCTGCCCCAGGTGATGTCACCATGAACCGACTCGGAAATTCGTGGGGGCAGAACCAAACTTCCCGGCCGCGGCGCTCAGCCCTCCGGAGAAGCAGGTGCTTCCTGCCTCGCTGGAGGATGAGTGTGCATGAGAGAGTGTGTGTGAGCGTGTGTGTCTGCGTGGGCACCGTCCTGGACACTGTGTGAGTGTGCGTGAGTGTGTGTGTATGTGGGTCTGTGTGGGCACTGTCCTACACACTGTGTTTGTGCATGTGTGAAGGTGCTGTCCTGCACGTGTGTGTGTGTGTGTGTGTATGTGTGTGTAGGGGGGGTGGGTAGGTGGGCACCGTCCTGGACACTGTGTGTGTGCATGAGTCTGTGAATGGACACCATCCTGGGCACTGTGTGTATATCAACGTGTGTGTGCAGGCACCGTCCTGGACACTGTGTGAGTGTGTGTGTGTGTGTGTGAGAGAGAGAGAGAGAGTGTGTACGTGTGCGTTTGAGGCCGCCGTGCTGCACACTGCAAGAGCAGGCGCACGCAGAGCCCCTGGTCTCCAAGCAAAGAGCTCCCCGTGCTCCCTGAGGAGCACTGTCTCCCCGTGGGCCAACACCACCCCCCATCAGCAGCTCTGACAAACCCCGCGTCTGCCCTCGGAGCCCCGGCACTGGCGGAGACGAGCCCACAGAGTCCGCAGCGCCGGCCCCGCTGCACCACACACGCGGGCACCAGGCCTGTGTAAGGGGCCTCGCCAGGGGCCACCCCCATGGGACGTCAGCACCCTGGATGTGGCCAGCATGGTCCCAGCGAGGAGACTCCCGTGAGCACAACAGGCTGACATACGTGTATGTGCTCAGGTCAAACCGTGTTCAAGCGAACAGCAGCTTAAGAGAAGTATTTCCACGTCCCGCTCACGGTCCACACGCTTCAACGTGCTATTCAGTAACGCGCAATTCACTTCGCCAGAGGTACGGACAATGCCTTCGACTTCGCTCTAATGCAAGCTGAATTGTCTGCAATTACACTAACCATATTTATATCCGTAACACATGTTCATCTGTTCCATCTCCTCTCCGAGACGAGCCCTCCCCGGGCGAGGGGCCGCGGCGCTCGGCAGAGCAGGCACACGCCAACAGTGCCACCTCGTGGATGGCCCGGAAACAGACGCCCTGCGGGCGCCCGCAGACCAGGCAATGTGCCAGACCGGCGAGCGCGGAGGTAGGCGGGGAGGGGGCGTCCTCCATAGGACCCGGCACAGGGGCACCAGCGCACGGCGTGCTCGGACCCGGCACACTCACTGGAGCGCACCCCCCCTCCCCAAACACGAGTGGGACTGGGGGGGTGACACCCCGCCAACCCTGGATTGTCCCGCGTCACCTGCACCCTGGCGCGTGTCTCGTGGACTCTGGGGTCAGGACCCACCGCCCCCGCGGGCATGGCTGGGAGGGAAGAGGCCCAGGCTGAGCACCGTCTCGGGGACGAGCGGGCTGGGGTCGGCTTCCCTGAGACGAGCAGAGAGGCGGCCGAGGACGCTCCACTTCCAAAGCAAAAGCGCCGAGGACAAGGACAAGCTCCTTACCACGCTCCCTCTCAAGTAAGCAGAAACCCTCCAACCGGGGGGTGGGCGGGGAAGGCGCCCTGCAGGGTCCCCGAGCACCACCGGGGGGCACCCCTGAGCAGTGCCAGGAAGCCACCAGGCTGCGTGCCCCAGACCCGCAGCCCCCGCGGGGAAGGACGCGCCCTTACCTGGTAAGGCGGTGATGAAGTCCCGCTGTAACATGGGCTTCAGGTAAGAGTTAATATGTCCATGCTGGTAATGACACATCCGTGAAATGAGGTGCTCCACAAACTCCACTTGATCCGACTCAGACCACTGGTCGAAGTACTTAATGCACAAGTCTTTCTCCTTCTGGTAGTTGCCTTCCGAGGGCCGCTTTCGGGAGACGATCACAGACGACGTCCCGTTACTTATCTGGGGGAGAAGCGCAGAGCGTCAGGGGTCGGCAGGGAAGGCCGGCCGGCAGCGCGAGAAAACCCCGACCCGACCCGGCCCGGCCCCATGCGCCCCCCGGCCCGTCCTTGCCACGCTCGTTCCAGCAGCCAGTCCTCAGAAAGGGGCAGGCGGGGCTGTGAGCTTCATCGGGGTCTACGGGAGCAGGGCGCCCCGCACCTCTTCCCTCGCACCGGCCAGTGCTCGCCTGTGGCCGGCGCCGGGGCTGGCCCATGAGGCTGCAGGGTCTCGCGCGGGCAGCAAGTGGCCAGGGACCCCGAGAGGCCAGCACTGCCTTGGGGACCATGATACAGTCCACATGCTGAGGGCCGGCAAACAGCCCACCTACCCACTGGGAGTGGACACAGACACTGCCCGGCAGAGCCCCGAGCAACCCTGGTGCATCTGCCGGGCACCTGCCCCGTCATGTGACTGGGGCCCGTCTGCAGCGCTGGACCACCAACGCCCTTAGGAGCCACACCAGGGCTTCTGCGCACCACACCCGCGTGTCCCCCTAACTCCCGTGGGCCAGGACGCTCCCCACGGCCGCCTCACCAGGACGGCTCTCGGACACCGCCACCAGGGGGCAACATGGAACAGGCTGCTGGCTGAGGCTGCAGTAAGGCAGGCGGGCGGGCGGCCAGACTCAGCCCGCGGGCGCGGGCGTAAGCTTTCCAAACACAGGGGACTCAGCTTCTGGGGCGGGGGGCACACCCAGCTGTGTTCAGGGCTCAGGCCTTGGTGGGTGCCTGGGGTCAAGCCAGGGGAGGCTTCCAGCCAAGCGCCACAACCCCTGGACCATCTCTCTGGTCCAAACCAAATACTCGAGTCAACGACAAAGTCGAAACTATTTTACGAAAACCAGGAGAGCAGCGGGCCAGGGAGACAGCACAGAGAGCAGGACGCTTGTCCCGCACACGGCCGACCCGGGCTTGATCTCCGGCACCGCCTAGGGTCCCCTGAGCACTGAGCTCCGGCAGGCCCAGGAGCAAGCTCTGAGCAACGTCACTGAATTAACACCAACACCCAAAATCAATACGAAACCGGGCAGTCAAACCATCCGCTGTGCTCCCGGTCAGCTTCAGAAACGTCGCGATCAAACGTTTCTCAAAGGAAGGGCATCCGGGGCCCGACAGGCAGGGCTGAGGGCACCCGCCTTGCACGCGGCTGACGCTCGCCCGGCTGACCCCTGGCCACTGCTAGCTGTGCCCCCTCCCCGAGCCCCCAGGGAAAGGAGGAGGATGTTCCCCATCCTGTCAGAGCTAACCCCCAACTACGAGTTGTGGGCGACGGGTCAGAGCCAGCCGGGCACGTACGGGGAACATGTGAGGAAGCTGTCACAAGGAAAGCTCCCGAGACGAAGACAAGGCACCTGCTGCCAACTGTCCAACGGGACTTGGGAAAGATGGGCGCGGAGGGGGACACGCAAACATTGCCGGGGGCTCCCTGGGGTCCACACGCGCCAGGTCCAGCAGGGAGGCCGGCCCCATGTGCCCCCACCTGCTCCTCGCCACCGAGAGGGACGCCGAGTGTCCCTGGCTCTCTCGTCCTGGACGCCCTGAGCCTCCCCCAAATGCCAGTCACCTGCGGGCTGGAGGACACGGGCGAGAAGAAAAGGGCCCCGCGCTGAAGTACGAAGAGCCGCTGTGGGGTGACCAAGGGCCCCGCGCGGGGAGAGGTAGCCTGCGCCCCGTCTTGCCCCACAGGGGGGTGGGAGGGACACTGCCCCCATGTGGTGGGGGGGGCACACAGTCCCTGCTGGTACCACCTCTGGGTCTTGTGGCCGGTGAGTCCAGGAAGGGAGGCTCTGCAGGAACACGGGCCACTGACGCCCTGGGGGATGGAGGCCAGCAGCAGAAGGTGGCAAGCCGGCCACGTGGACACGGGGCCCTTCGGGGGGGACAAAGGCTCCCCCATGCCCATCAGTCTCATGTGGGTCAGCAGCTCAGCGGACACCAGGCCCGTCCCAAGGACCCGGAGCCAGTCGCGGTGGCTGGGGAACGGGCCGCGGGAACCGGGGCCACTGGAGCGGCCACGTGGTCCACGTGTGTGGCCACGGCGCTGAGAGACTCGTCTTCCACCTGACCCTCCCTAACTCAAGTGCTCGGAGGGGGAAACAGGTTATCTGGATCTCACGGAGTCTTGCGAACCCTCCACAAACGTGACCAGCCAAATGGGTGCTCGTCCACACTGGCCTGAGTTCCGTGGCCTGTAGCCAACACGTTTCCCCCCCACGGGCCTGGGCCCCTGCTTTCATACACCCAGAGGGCATGGACACTCCGCGGGCCGGCCAGCCTCGGTGAGGACGAACAGGCCCCCGGCCTTGCTCCTCCCCCCCTCGATGCCCTTGCTTTTCTGGAATGGCAGGGTACCCCCAAACTTTCCCCACAGCCTCTGGGGGGGGGGGGGCGTGAGCTGGGCACGCTTGGGGGTCCAGCGTCTGTAGACGCCCGTGCAGGAGACCACCCGGGACACGAATCCCCCTCTAAGGAAGCGCCGACCTCATGGCCAGGCGGACACTCTGTGAGGATGGACGGCGCCCGAGGGAGACGGTGAGAGAACACAGAGGCCAGGAGCCCCGGGGTGCCTCAGTACTTGCCCTCGGCCACTCAGGCACGGCCTGGGTCCAAGCAACACAGGGCCGGGGCGGGAGAAAGCCACTTCCTGGGCGCAGAGAAAGGCGGACAAAGGGTCAGAGACCAGGAGCTGGTTCCTGCCCTCCCTGCCCAGCTGCTCCCCCTGCCACCCTCAGGCCTGAGGAGGGCTGGCAGGGCCCCTTCCCTGCGCATCTCCAGGTCTGGGTGCGAGGGGCGAGAAGGCAGCTGGGTGTGGGAGAGGCAGAGTGGGGGGTGGCGTCTAGGTCGCCAGTGCCAGCTCAGCCCCGCCTCGGTGGACGTTCCCCCAGGGAACCGTGGACACGCTCGGCCCAAATGGGCCGACCCAGGTTGATGCCTGGCACACCCAGGTCAATCCCTGGCACCACTGACGGTTCCCTGAGCCCCAAGGGCGGGGATCCCTGCGCAGAGCCCCGCCCAGACGGCCCCTGAGCACAGCCAGGAACAGCCCGGGGACCGCCCCAAAACCAAAAGACATTTTAATCTTTCAAATTTAATTAAAATGAAATCAAGTCACTGGTGTCAGGGCCAGGCCCGACGTCACTCTGGGCAAGAATGAGGCTCAGGGCCGTGCGCACAGAACGGATCCCCGCGGGCACACGTCACCCGCACTTCCAACGAGGGCCCGTGGCGTCCAACGGGACAGGCCGCGCCAACGCCCGCCCCCTCGAAGGACGAAGGATGGGACCAAAGACAGGATGGGCGCACCACCTGCTCAGGACGAGGGGCGGGAGGATGCCCGACCCCCCCCACACACACACAAGGACAAGCCGTAGACACGCCCACACCAAGGCACCGGGAGCCTGTGCAGGCCAGTGGGCTCCACAGCCGGGCGAGCCCCTCGACAGCCCACCCTGGCCCCTCCAGGCTGGCCCGGGGCAACACCCTCAAGCGCCTCTGACCACAGGAGCCCCACCAGCTCTGAGAGTCCCCTGGGGGCAGGGGTGGGGCACTTCCTGCCTGCTACAGTAGGAACACAGTAGGTGCGGAGTGGAGCTGAGCAGTAGGTGGACAGCATAGTATGACATGGCAGGGGCACCGCAGACATAGCACAGCACAGTAGGGGTCCAGCACAGGATAGGAGGCGTACAGCATAGTAGGCGTATGGCCTAGTACAGGAGGTACAGTAGGGTAGGTGTACAGTATAGAGTGGTACGGTAGATGTACAGGATAGTACAGGAGGTGTATAGTATAAGAGGTGTATAGCTTAGTACAGTACAGATGTACAGTATAGTACCGTAAGCGTACAGTACAGGAGGTGCGCAGCATAGTATAGTACATCAGGTGTGTGGTATAGAATAGTACAGGTCTATAGGTGCAGTAGGTGGGTGGCATAGGCGATGTAGAGCATAGCATAGTAGGTGAAGAGTACAGCATAGTAGGTGTGCAGAATAGAATAGTAGGGTAGGTGTCTAGCACAGTCCAGCAGGTCTGCGTTTCTGGCGTCAGGAGGACCCGCGTCTCGCCCACTCATCTCCCACCCAAGAATCGTCTTGACGCCTCGGGAGCCGTGGACCCTGGCGACGACACCCGGCCCTTCCCCTCGCCCCCGGCGAAGGCACCGAGCAACACCTACGCGGACGCTAGCCATCCCTTTTCTCTGCCAGGACAGGCACAGCCGCGATTCCCAGAGCGACGTGGAAGTGAAATCAGGGGCCACAAACCCCAGTCAGGCAGGAGGGAAGCGGAACCCGGCGGGGTCTGTCCCCTCAGAAACCCGCGGGCTTTCCACACGGCAAACAGCTCAGGTGGTTCCCGGTGGCGGCCGCAAGCGGTTCCCAGGGGATGAGACTGGACGAGGCAGTGCCCGCACAAGGGGTAAGGTGCCAACCACCACACCCACGGGCCGGAGAAACAGCACAGCACGGCACGGCACAGTACAGTACAGTGTTGTACAGTACAGCAGGGCACAGTACAGGACAGTAGGTGCACAACAGAGCATAGTAGGCGTATTGTATGGTACAGTAGATGTATAGCAGTGTATAGTATAGTAGGTGTATTGAACAGCATAGTAAGTGTATTGTCTCGTATAGCAGGTGTATAGCATAGTAGGTGTATCATACAGTAGGTGTACAGTACAGTGCAGTATTATATAGGAGGTGTATGGTAGGTGTATAGTATATTATAGTAGGTATACAGTACAGCGCAGCAGGAGTACAGTATAGTAGGTGTATAGCACAGCACAGTAGGTACACAGAACAGCAGAGCACAGCAGAACATGAAGCCAACCAGGGTTCCACCCTCAGCATCCCACAGGGTTCCCGAGCACTGCCAGGAGAAACCCCAAGGCATCGCCGGTGTGCTCCCCCTGCAAATAAAACCACACCGCCCATAAAAGAGAGTCCCCAGGCCAGCCGCGAGGAGAAG